GGAGGTGACGTTCAGAAGGGGGAGGGAGAAGAGACATTGGAGAGGGAAAAGGGGAGGGGGGAGGGGTAAGGGGGATGATTCACGAATGGGACAAAGAGAAAGGGTAAGGAGAAGAAGAGGGAAGAGGGGAAGCGGCGAGAAGAAGGGTGGAGAGGGGAAAAGAGGAGAGGAGAAGGGAGGAAGAAGAGGGGGGTATCGCCGACACCAGGCGTGTAGAATTAGAAATCCCAAAGATCCATCCATCGCATACGCACAAAGAGCAGACCATCGACACGATCCATTGGATGTAAAAAAAGATCAAACCATTGAGTCGATCAGCATTATTATCGCCAAATAGGCGCAGTCTTCACAAAGCGACAATCAATATCGTCATCAAAACATACTATGCCCTGCTGCATTGCCGCAGTCCGAATCTGCTCGTAAGAAACAAAAAACAAAAAACGGGGAGAGGGAAACCCATGGGAGAACAGACGGACCTTAGACAAGTGAGGGCTCCAGTGGGAAGGGAAGGGAGAAGGAAAGGAGGGGACGGGAGAGGCCATGCTCTAGCTCTATCCTCCAGGTCCTACGCGCTCCTGTATCGGCGCAGACCATCTCGCCAGATTGCAGGGAGGGCGTGGCAAAAACCCTCAAGTGCTTTGCTACCCCATGCCACCTGGGGCGTCATCAGAGGGGGGGCATCTCCTAGGAGACAAGGTGGGGGAGGAGGGGCACGAGGGGGGGGAAGGTGAAGGTGGCGGACGGGGGGAGGGGGGTGAAGATTCGTGATGGGGGTAGGGAGGGGCGGGAGGGCACAACCCAGGCAGAGGGGGGGAAGGGGGGAGAGAGTAGATGAAGTAGAGAAAGGAGAGGAACGACAAAAAGAGGAGAAAAGCTAAAAAAACGTGCGAAGATGTCCCCACCGCCATCTTGGTCTCCATGATCGTCCTCGCGCGCTATCCAGTCCTTTCCTCTAGCCAACCCAAATCAGCAAGCAGAAAGCACAGGCAAAGGCAGCCAGCAAGAAAAAACGACACGAAGCAAATAGTGCCGGCCACAAGCGAGGCAAAGCCTCTGGTCGAAGTACGCAGGAGCACAGTTTCGGAGAGGGAGGCGGCAAAAAGCAGACCCGCCAGCGCAAGGTTGGGAAGCAGGGCGAGAAAGAGCACAAAAGCCAGATATGCGTTAAATGCTGGAGAGCGTGGGCAGTAGCTGGGCATGGCGACTGCCGCGGGGCAAGTCGCGACGCACTACATGGCGAACGGTCAGAGCACAGGGGGAGCGGGATCACAAGCGTGCTTCACCCCAGGAGTGTTACCACTTCCTCCTGCTCAAGCCGCTCCTCCTCCTGGTCCCAGTCGGCGAAAAAATCCATGTCGCCTGCCGCAATGCCAAAAATCTCTCCCCCGCCAAAACCTTATCGCCACTCGTTCCTACTGCTACCGTAGCCGGTTGTCGTCAGATAGGCCGGTGAATAGTTCTACCGTCGTCGACTCCTAATATAGTCATCGCTTCGCCACGCACAGCCTGCGTCTAAAAAAAACTTCCTATTCCATCCCTACGCTTAGTGTGCGCATCTGACGATCCCGTTAGTAAAAAGAAAAAGAAAAAAAAAGAAAAAAAAAAAGAAAAGAAAAAAACAAAATAAACGAAGAACAAGCCAGCACGTCATTCGTTAGTATGTGGTGGGGGTGAGGGTCGATACATCTTGGCCCCTTATGAGTGAATCGTTCCCCGGCCCACATGTGCCCCACTCTGCCCCGCAGGGTCGGGGGGAGCGATGGCCAAGGGTTCAGGGGTACCCATTGGTCTGTCCGTCGGGGCATTTTATTGCCAGGAAAAACAATCAAAAGGAGGAACACACACACACAAAAAAAAAAAAGGGGGCGAAAATAGATAGGACAAAGGAAAGAAAAAAAGAAAGAAAAAAGAAAGAAGAAAGAAAGAAAGAATGAAAGAAGAAGAGGGGCAAGGGGGGCTCCTATTCACGCAGGGGTAGCCTTCTCGACAACAGCCTTCCGTCCCTCCAGCCATCCACCCCTCCAGCCATCACTCGTACAGTCATGTGCGCGCGCGTGTGTGTGTGTGTGTGTGTGTGTGTGTGTGTGTGTGTGTTTGTGTCCCACCCCGTTCCCTCCAGGGGATGCCCTGGGACCGAGGGGTCCGGCTGCCCGGAGAACAACCGGCCCCTTAGGTCCAGCCATCCCCCGGACACCGAACACACACACGCATCCATGCACTTACACAGCCACAAACAAAGAAACGTTGGTCAATCCGCAAACCCATGCAGATTAGTCAGAGCTTTCTTGACCACATGCACAGACAGCTTGCCCGGTTGGTAGAGGTGGGCATTCCACAGGGTCTTCTTGACCACCCTCCAGCACGCATCGCTGGCGAAGCCGTTTTCTTCCATCGGAGTAACCACCTTAGCGATCTCATTGGCAGCGTCTTCCGGTTCTGAACACAGCAGGAGGATCTGTGCAACCTGCGCAGTAATGATCTGAAGCGATTGCTTGACACTCCTGTTGGACTTATACCTGACGAATCGGCACGGAGAAAATCCCAGTCCGCTGCGTTTGTCATATCTGGTGGTTGCATAGGAGCCTGTTATCGGTGAGGTGACCGTGATGGTGGGACTGAGGAAGTTGGCAATGCGCCCACTTTCCTCCTCCTTCAGTGTCGTGTTCTCCTTTATTTTGATATAGTCCTCCGGATAGACCCAGCACGGGTCCCCCGCCTCCCTCTCGCCTTTGTTGCGCAGAAAGTTGTTGATGACGGCGTTGTTGATTGCCCCCAAGTCGTCAATGTATCTGAACGTGCTATCAAAGCACGGGATCAGATGGGTATTCCCGGTGTCCGCCAACCTCATCATGGCGTGATATTCATACTTGAAAAAGTATATATCACACCAGATTGGGGAACACGCCAGCCCCATAGGAATTCCCTTCACTTGCCTCCAAACATAGTCCCCCATGAGCAGCATGCTGTTGGTGATACACCAACCCGAGAGCCAGCAGATGTCGCGTTCCCTGAACAGCAGCATGCCTTCTTCCTCCGGTAGTCCATCGTCCACCCATGATGGCCATATCCCACCGTGTTGTCCAAAAGTGATACGGATGGTATGGCAGGAACTTATCTCTTTCCGGATTTGCATGGCGCACTGCACGTAAAATCTGACCGCAGCGGGAAGACTCTCCTCCGAACCGTCCGTGGGGATAGTCTCAAAGCACCTGGTTATATCGGCTGTAAACACCGAGCAAACCTTCTTCGGAAGGTTCACATGGAATTCGCCCACCGAGGCTATGGCCCACCAGAGATTTGGCCTGACGCCACACCGTTCCTCCACCTCCAAGCTTCTCTCTTGACAGAAGTCCTGCACCAACGGAAGCAGGAACCTCAACAGACAGGCGCAGACCTTTGCGACAGGGGAGACGATGGTATTGGCAGTGTTCGTGATCCACCAGAACGTCCCCTTGTGCGCCTTGAGAACCGTCATGAGGTACGGGAGTGCCGCCGGTGCGATGGGGAGTGCAGGCAGAGCAGAGAGTTCGCCTCGTATTCGTGCGATGACGGCCGCCAGTGGTACATTGATGCTGGCAAACTCTGGGCCCTGAAAGCCTCTGGAACGCAAGCTTCCGCATGAAGTTCTTGCAGACAAAGGCCGGAGTGTTGGGCGCCTTGTCCGTGGGGCAGATAAGGAATCTGCCAGTTATGAACTCCAACTCCCTTTTGACAGCTGGGTGCTCGAATGGTTCAGCAACGGCGTGTTTGTGCACAGCACGGTACTTCTCCATCTTTGCCCTTGCCTTCTTCATGATGACCCTCCAGAGGAATGATTTGGTAGATGCACTAAGGTCGTTCAACTCCATGACCCGCACGAATAGCTCGTCCAAACAGTTTTCCAGCTCGATACTCGCCTCCTCCACGTCCAGGGCCATGCACGAAATATGGTTGAGGTCGGCTCTGATGATGCCATGCAGCAGTGGGCTATCCGTGATTGACGAGTCCATCGTAATGATGTGCGTGCAGCCCTCACTCTCGAGTAACTCTATTGACCAGTTGCTGCGCATGTCCATATATCTCCGCATCCTATAGGGGCATTGGTCCGGATGGTAGCTCTCTATCCATTGCGCCACGTCGAATTCGCAGAACGTCTCCGCTGGTCTGCACAATCTGGAGGCTATCTTAGGATTGTAGGTCCAGCCGATCTTGGTGCGCTTAAGCCAAGTTGTCGTATCATCCCCGATCACCCTGCTGAGCACCTCATTCACTAACCTCCTGACAGAAAGCGGTTCCATCACGCGGCTGGTGTACTTCAAGTGCAGGAATGTGTCACAGTCAAGTTTCTGCCTCTTCCATGCCTTCCTGCAACTAGGAAGCGTGATCATCTGGCCAGGAGCATTCAGCCATTCGTCCGGATCCTGTGCAGCAATACACAGTGGTACAGGACATAGCGGTCATGACGTCGTAAAAAATCGCCAAGGCAGCGAACGAGAAGTAATCAGAAAATAATCAGAAGTGCGTCGGTAAAAGAAAGGTGAGTGGAGGGGGGAGGGGGGGGGAGAGAGAGAGAGAGAGAGAGAGAGAGAGAGAGAGAGAGAGAGAGAGAGAGAGAGAGAGAGAGAGAGAGAGAGAGAGA